ACGCTCTGCTTCGAGAGCACGCGCGTCGTCCTTGTTGCGCCTGCAGCCTCAGAAGTGGTTGCGTGCATATCAGCAAGGTTTAGGATTAAAGGCCTAGGGTTTAGGCCTCTAGCTACGGGGCCACCGACCGCCACCCACTGGGTGCTGACAGCGAAGATTCCGTGTCCACGCCCACGGAGGCAAGCGCAAGCGAACAGCTTCAGCTGGCGGCGACGAGGAGGCATGGCACCCTTAACCCCTGTAATGTAGGGGCCTTAAGAATCGAATCATTATTGTCCCTTTCTTTTTGCAGGGTCTCTTTTGTGAGAGCGGGAGATCCTTGATCGTCGGAAACCCCAACAAATGTCACATTATCGCTCCTCTTCCGCTATAGTACAATATGCACCCAAACCCTTTTCAAGGTGCGCGTATGGAAGTCATCATAAGCCAGACGTTTCGCAGGATCCCAGCAAGGAAGCCTCAGAAAAAGACGCCTTGAAGCCACTGACACTATCTTTTGGGAAGCCACGCACAGAATTTTGTGGGGTCTGGGATACTACAGCTACCCACACAAGCCGTGTGAAGAAGCTTGATGGAACCTGCCCACCCTCCCAAGAGACATATGATACTGATACTGGAGAAACACAGCTTATTCGAACCCAGGCCAGGATGAACCTTGCATCAGGCCATCCAACTGCTGGCGAAGTCACAATGTCGCCTTCGTATCTGCCGAAGCACCCGCTCGGACAGACTAAACACCGCGTAACGAGTGAGAGTAAGTAGAGCCGTCATCATTGGTCTGCACATTGAGTGTTATTGTCATGATCACCAAGCCTCTCACCATCGTAACCGCCATAGCCACCATTGGCATCAGCAGACGCACCAACATCATCAGCATCATCCGTTTGATCCGTAGCAGCCCAAACTCCCCAAATCCCAAAGCCAAAACCCCTGAACCATAAACCGTAGACCCTGGATCCTGAAAGGGCGAACGTACGGCTTCTGCCCGGGCTCGCAGCAGGCACTGGGCACTGGGAAAAGTGCGTGTAGGATCTGAGTAGGGTTTAGGGTTTCCGCATTCCTCCGCAAGCTTCTTGTTCACATTGCCTCGTCCCCTTGTTTTAGCCCGAAGCCTTCGGATCGTGATCTGGATATCTCTTCAATGCTGCGCACCACTCACTTGTTCCTGGAGTCCTAAAAACCACAGAAATCCAGGAATATACCTTACGTCATAAGATTAAAGCCCACACACTGCAAGCCAAATTTTCCTTACTTAAAGTGTATTTGGCTCTCAGAGAGTCTTTGGGTGCTTCTCAAGCGACCCTGATTTGAGGGACCTTGTGCCTTGTCAACATCCCATACACCCCTAACAAAGCCCGAAGAAGAAGGCTAGCATACAAGGGACCCGTTGAGAACGGAGTCCAAAGTCTAAATAGTCAGTACTACTACGTCTTCGGATTCCCAAATAGATTTTTGGTATAAGATGCCCCACGACCCTTTTCCAACCGTTAAGGCTCCTAAGATACCCTGAGCCCAGACAGATTGCCGTCTCGTGTATTCCAAGTTCCCAAAGACTCCAAGAGCCCTTAATTAAGGCGCATACCTTAAATTGCAGAAGGACCCCTTATATGATTTAGGGTATATTCAAATTGCTCAATTAAGGGATATTGGAGTCTGTGGGTTGTCAGGAGCAGGATGGGCCTGCCAAATGAGGAAGCTGCGCAGGCAGAGGGCACAGTTGGAGGGTCGGGAGACGACTTAACAAGTGTGGTTATGAACACGTAAGGCAGGATGATGAGTAGTTATAGGACGAGTCAGGCTGTTTATAGCCTTAGTCACTTCTGATCCCTTAAGCACTTCGGATTTCTACTGAAAACGGGGGGGGTTCCTGGTTTGATATGCATTTTGAAAGGCGTCTGAGGTTTCCTCCTGTTACAAGAGTCACCAGGCATCAAAGCTTTGATGGGGTCACTTTACTGTGATTAAACCTGCAAGCACACCCTAAATCTCTCTACAATCGTTGACTTGCGACTCTACGGTTGGCTATGAGAGATGTTGGGAATTCTTCCCATGAGATGGATTTCAATGGAGACGTGCTTTCGCTAAGTGTTGAACTCTTCAGGGCGCATAACGGTCAAATCCTGACAGGCCAGCGAAAAGCCTGTAGAACTCTCTGAAGCCCATCCAGGTTCACTAATCCCTTGAATCATGTTTTTCCTCTGGAAACTCCCACACCAGGTGGTGGAGAAGAAGCGGCGCAAGACCCTGCGCCAGTTCAACAAGCAAGGAAAGAAGGGCGAGGCAAGGAGCTATACATCCAGGGTTCAGGAGTTTCCCAGAGACTCCGATATCCCTTAATTAGAATATATATACCTTAAAATTATCATAGGATCCCTAAGATGATTTAAGGCGTGTTTCTTAATTTAGGGATATTGGAGAGTCTTTGGACTCTGGGCCTGGAAGTCTAGGAGTTCAGGGATGGTGGGCTTGAGGGATTTCAAGTGCCGCGATGCTCTTCGGAGTAGGGCCTTTCAGAAGGCTTCGGAAGGATAATATAGGAGCCTAAATTAGTAAAAGATACTATTTTGGGGGTTCCTTATTATAAGTACAGTATAAAGGGCCCCAAAAACCCTATTCGAATTATTAAGGCTTCCATAGCAAATCCTTCTAGTAGCCCCCATCGCAGCCCTTATCGACCCTTTAAAGGAACCCTATTCTAATTACTAAGGCCCCTATATGACCGGCTCCCAGGCTCAGGGTTTGAGGCTCAAAAGTCTTAGTAGCTGAGTGGATACACTTTACACTTTTTGGGATAATATTACCCACTATACAAAGGAAAGTGTACACGTTTTGGGGGCTTATGAACTCAGCAACTAAGAAATAGAACCATTCCTCATGAGGTGACGGCCAGTCGATCCGAACGACCAGGTTTCTTCACGTGGGATCCGTTGCTTAGCGTTCCGAACATGTTGACAATGTAGCACAGCATAGGAGAGCATGGTAGAGTACAGTACAGTAGAGTACAGCAACGTAAAGTATACGATAGTATAGTATAGTATTGTACACTATGAAAGTTATCTCATATTATCATAGATTTCTCCCTGTGGCCACGCCACAGTGCTCCGAGGCGGACCGGTGGGTCCCCGACCTCAAGCCCAAGCATTTGTACTCTGGCCCCTTGGCTGCGAGTTGGAGTTGGCGGAGAGCTCCTTTTTTCAACTCATGTACCAATGTACCCAATATCAGTGGAGTTACGACTACGAGCCTCAACCAAGCGAGGCACCCTCGTTCGAAACAACAGGCAAGTGTCACCAGCATCTGTGCTTGACCTTCTGCGTGCTCGAGTAGCTGTTTCTGAAGACTGGGTTCACCTAAACCCTACGCCGAGGGGTGAATAAAACGGACCTTGTCTTGAAGTTCAGATTCGCAGCTGCATGACCACCCAGACCTTAGCCCAGAAGCACACGGACCAAGCCCGGAGAACTCCACAAGAAGCCTCAAGAGGTTCCGACAAACCCCAGATATCGTTTAAGAAACGTCCGAATAAAACCCTCGACCCCCTAAGCCCTAAACCCGAATCAACGGAGCTTTTCGCGATCCAAGGCAAACGTGGCATCGGAAAGACCGATCGGCGCTGAGCAGGCACGATCGTGGATGCTTGGTCGCGAGACGATAGTGATCGAGATACTGCTGTGCTGCAGAACTCCATCGCTTAGTGTTTCCGTGCAACCATTGTTTGTATCACCATGAAATACCCTAATTAATGTACTCTTGTGGTCACAATGAAATACGCTAGTTAATGTACTGTTGTGGTCGATGCAACTTGGCTTCTCGTCGTTATTCTCAACACGTTCATTGTCATCGTTACTCGTTCGTTTGTCTACTCAGGCCCCACGAGTGCCGTGAGCGTTGTCTAAACCTCACTTTCCCCACACACTGTGATTTCTGTTCCGACGCCGATGTTCTCCTCCCAAGCATGCCAAACGCTGCAGAACCCGCAATGGACATGTCAGACATGTCGGGCCTTCATATCTCATTATGCAGATGCGTGGCGTCGTCATACGCAGAACTGAGTTGTTTATGCCTCATGCGTGTACCTAAGTGTATCTATATCTGCGTATATGTGTTTGCATATGCATATTTGCACACGCATTTGCTTCCTCGCTTCTTTTTTCCATGATTAAAGACTCTGCTGGACGTTGAGTTGTCCCCCCCTGCAAACATTTGTGTAACTAATGAGGACGTGTCTAGCGAAATTTCCTGCAATCGCAAATCTTGGAAAGGAATTTTGCAGTAGGTGCTTGCCATTCTTGCCAGGTCCTGGGCAGGGATAAGCCGCTCCAGAGCAGGGGTGCTCCCTCGCCTCGAAAAAAGTGGATGTCGCCTGCACGGGTTTCAGGGTTTAGGGTATATAACGTTTAGGGTATTTAGGGTGTAGGGTTCAGGGTTTAGGTTTGGGGACTTAGAAATGTCTGGATTAGGACTTCGAGTTTAGAGTCTGGGGTTTGGGAATCTGGGATCTTATGTGCTTATATAGAGTGTATGCGATAGCCTGAAGGTACTTGCATGGCGGAGGGCAAAGCATATACCCTATGAGAATGCAACGGACCATGGCATGAACCTTGCCGAAGCCGATGATGTTGCGCAGCTGTTGCAGGTTAGAAGAGAAGCGAGGATACCAACATGGGGGTCAGAACCAGTCGCAATAGCCGTCTCTGAAAGTCCCTGTACAGGTACAGTACAGTATATCCCCAAACTGTGTTCTAACGGTTATGGCCCCTCTAGGGACGTGTCTGAGTGCAAACGTACGTGCATGCATGCATGCACGTATACATACACTCACAAATACGCATGCACATCTACATCCAAGCACAAACAGACACTCATGAGTATGAATATGGACGTCTGCATGCACCTATCTTGACAGGCCTTCGAACTGCATAATCATGTGTTTCTATCGGTAGAGTTTCTTTCACGACGTGATTCCCGCTGCCTTTCACCCAGATGGTACCAATTGAGCCATGGAGGGAAGCCTCATATCGAGCGAAGAGCAGCTCTTGTGGCAAGGCCCCTTTGGGCTCTAACCTGATATATACATTTTATTTATATATATTTATTCATATACATATACATATACATATACATATATATATACATATATATTTTTTTATAGATATAATAGAGAGAGAGAGAGAGACAGAGAGAGAGAGAGTCCCGGTACATGACGTTTTTTGAGGTTTATGAGGAGTAGGCTTAGGAGCTGAGATGATATGACTTAACGTACAATCCTGAACTAGGTGGATCAGGCAGCGACTTGACAGCGTAGTAAGGGTTAAACAAAAGCTCACTTTCGCTTCATCTAGCCAAATGAGGGTACTTTATTCAGGTACTTAAAGCCCGCCCCAATTGCTCAGTCCCCTGATCACCTTAAGTCCTAGCCTTAAGTAAAATCTACACGATACGAAAGGGCCTACAAACCTCCAAATAAACCTCATAAAATCCCTCATGACTCCAAAACTTTAAACCGTAAACTTTCTATGAAAGTTTGAACCCTGGAGGCGAGAAGCTGCTCGTGCTGCTGCGGGGACCTCCTGGCTGCGGGACACTTGCGAGGGGATTTCGGGTTATAAAGGGTACTTTAAAGGGTCTATCGGGGTACTACAAAGGGTACTTGAAGGGTCTATGGGGTCTAGAGGGGTTTAGGGCATGCATGATAATCGGATCTGTAGGATGTCTTTGAGCTTCCTTTCAGGGAAGCTTCGTGTTGAGGACTCAGTGTTTGGGACAGATATGCTTTCCTGAAATTGCGATGGGATGTGCGAGGGAAAAGATAGAATTCAGGATTCTGGGCGTCGGAATTTTGAAGGTTTCTGGATGCATTAGGCCTAAGGGGTAGAGCTCAAGGGGTTGAAGGCTTCCGATTAAGATGATGTTCAGACTTTGCGGGGGGTGCTCAGGGCTGGGTGATTGTAAAGGGGCTGATCATCCAGAGACCCCCCAAAAAAGATCTTGATGAAAGAATGTATCTTGAAACTGATTCGGGTCCTTGGTGCGCAACGGCTATACTTCAAGTCGTACAAGGGTCCCTCACACAACTAGTCGTATCTTCCTTACTTAAGGATGTTCGGTTGCCTGGGGATCAATGCTGTGATGTGGAGATTCAAGTCAGCATTGCTCCTGAAGCCACTCCGCCGTATAGTATCGGAAGGACCGCCACTACTCACAACTACCACTTCTACCACCCGCCATTGCTACCATCTCGACTGCCACCGCGAAGCTCCACCCTGACCAGGAAATCCACCTTTGCCCGGAGGTGGCTCGCCAGAGCGCTGAAGACAAGCACGTCGGAGCTCGAGGACAGGGGGAGAGATGCTGTGTTAGGGTTATATGGCTGTGTAGGGGTTTTTGAGATTGTGACGAGCGTTTTTTCATGCTTGGAAAGGTTCACCGATTGATATACAGGAGCACTTGCAATGGTTCACAGGTACTGGTATCTGGCCGTGGGAACTCGGGACTAGCTCGGAGTTTCATGCGGCTGGTTCTTAGGGCTGCTGGTCTGGAGTTCAGGGTTGGTTGTACTACTTAAGCCGGGTGCTCCACAAGCCGAAGATAGTACTGTCACTATTCAGATGCTAGCATGTTCCGTTGTGCATGTTGCTGCCCTTTTATTCCTACTGTTTGTTACCAGGGCTGCGCATCCGGCATTCCAAGCAAGCCCTGAGCGCTAAAATCCTGAAGCTGGGGTTCTTGTTGAGGAGTTTACTTTCAGATACCATAATAAAGAAACCACAGCACCACAGCCTTTGCTACACATCCCTATTATGGTAACTTAGACTAAATTCCTGTACAAGAACCCAGGAAGGTAAACCATCCCAGCTTAGGGTTTTCCTGTGGAAGGTTCAGCCATGATAGTCTCAGGCTTTGTGCCCATAGGAGCCACATACCCCCTTAATGAAGTAGTATGGTTGAAGTTGTCTTCGGGATCCTTCTTCTACTTAGTGGATACTCACTACTTAGACGTAGGACTGTTTGGGTAGGGCTGGGAAAGAATTCTGGTTACCCTCAACCCGAAACCCTAATCCCCTTAATCCCCAGAACCCTAGTCCCCTAAGCCCTTCTGAACCGGGTCCGGGGCCTAAACCCTGGTTCCTGAATCCTAAACCCTGGTTCCTAAACCCTAAACCCCGGAGGAAAAGGGCCCTCAAAAAAAAGCTAAACCCCTCAACCCTAAATCCTAAACCCTGGTTCCTGAATCCCAAAGCCTGGTTCCTGAATCCTACCCTTGAGATTTGTGGCCTGACAAAACGTACGAGAGACGTACGCAGGAACGGCCTGCCTGGCGACTCGCACACGAAACTTGCCAGCAACTTGCAACATGTAATCTCATGTCGGAACCATAGCTTGAGGGGATTTTCGAAGCAAAATCACAACGCGAGTACTGCTATTGAAGCTCGTATGGTACTATGTAGGCAACACCCATTTATCATCTTTCAGATCCACGAAACCCTAAACCGTAACCGTATGCATTCTCCAAGGCCCCATGAGACCATGAAATCCGAAACAGTTTGGAATCCGAGCAGGAGCCTCGAACCCAAAGGCTCGGAACCTTGAAACAACGATAACCATCGAAAGAGCAATAAACCAGAATAGTCATATACACAATAGTAGTAAAGAAATCCTTTAGGGGAACCCATAAACATCATAACAGCAATAGTTAGAGTAGTCATATCCATAATCGCAAAATCAAAATGCGAAGAATTGTTGTAGCAATTTGCGGATTGAAGCCCAAACTCTATCTTGAGCCCATGTTCAGGGTCCTGGTTAAGGAACTTAGTTTAACTTACACTGCGTTCATCGTGGTGGTGCCTTTATACTCATTTGTCGCCTCATAAATCTCTACGAACCGAACCCTGAACAGAGACCTTGAAGGTTAGTAGGGTCATAAGTACCTTACTTATAGCCAGATACAACCTGTAAAAGGTTCCTTCACGGGAACCTTGAACAGAACCTTGGAAACCCTGTATCCTAGCATTACCCACAGTAGTAGTATGAGGATTACTCTTGTTGTTAATATCACTACTATCAACAACTATTGTGACTGTCATGGTTATCAAGCTCGGACAGGTTTGCAGCTCCGATGACTTCTGCACGTCACGAGAGGACCGACAGATTTGCGGTTTTTCTGGTTGCACAAAGGATCCCGCGACTTTCGAGGGGTCCTCAAACTTACTGCTTTGGGGACTCTGAAAGAGCCTTTCGTAAGGCTTCGGGTTCAGAGTTTCGAGATTTAGGGTTTAGGGTCTACGATCCGCAGGAGCTGCGAAACTCACGCCTTTTTCGGCACTCTCCCAGCGTCCCAGGCTGATCCCGGAGCCTCCACCCGTAGACCTTCCCTTCGAGTAGTATAGCATAGGGGCTAAAAGAATTACCACTTTGTTACAGCTATGGTATACTATACTCCGAGACCCTGTTCTATTCTAGTTGTACTACCTTAAATCATCTGAAGCATCCTTTCACTTTCGACCTCAAGTTCATTTCTGCACTAAGTGCTTATGGTAATCTCAGGAGCTGTCCTGATGCAACGGCCAGCGGGGCTCTGGGCTTCCCCAGACCTTCATGCTTGTTCAGTGCTTCGTTGGTAAGTTCCTCAATGCATTCGGTGCTGGGCTTCCTTGGTGACTGCAATACTTTAGCCAGACCCCACACCCTGCAGACAGCAAGATGCTGGAAAGCCTGTCGTGGCAGGACGGCGACGAGGTCTATGAGTTCGGTGCGCTCTCCGCAAGGCCAGGTGGTGTTGTAGACAGAACGAAAGCACAATGAGCTCCACGGGTAAAGAATGTGTTGTACTTAACCATTGCACTAGTGATAGGCAGCAGCCATCAGCAGAGCATCCTGACATCACTTCGCAGCGACCAACGATGAACACGTCTTGAGTCGCAACCAGTCGCAAGAACGTAGCATTAACAAGGGTATGCAGACAAAGAAGGAGAGCATCCAGGAGACGCACACCAGCCCACACACTCCGAAGGATCCAAAACATAGATGCCTTAAAATTGCTTCCTGCAAGACATGGTTAGTAGCATGGGCGGGGTACGAAGTTAGAGTTCTACTTGCCAGATCCTCTCGGGAGTCTGGCTACGAGGCTGGATAGTAGCACCGTTGGAGCATTTGTCCGAGTACTTTTGAACAGGGCTTAGGTGAGCTGGTAAATGTTGAGTGTGTTTGGGCGAGGGGGGTATGTTATCGCGTGACTATATGGAGGAGACAAGGGCGAGTTTTTGCTAGTTATCCCTATCGTCAGGTGCCGAGCAGGCAGGAAACCCTTGCGAAAAGTCAAACCGAGAGGCTTCCGAGTTCCTGCATAAAATCGAGGTCCATTGATGTGGGGACACCTGACCGAAAGTAAGGGAACCCAGATTGAAAGCAACCCTGAGTTGACACGTGGTTATGACGGGCCCAACCTCTTTTGAGGACAGCACATGCGCTGAATGAGCAGCGTGTGGACATCGCGCTGCGCTTGGGGACGACGCCCATCATCGTCGACAACACCCACATGGAGCTGTGGGAGTCTTGGAGTTGCGAGCATTAAACTTGTTGCGTGCAAATTGCTGCAGGCCCCTAATTGGCGAAAGCTTGGTCCCGTACCGTGCAGGATTCATTGTTGGGAAGGCGTTGCATCTACGGAACCCAGAGAGCCCAATGCCTTACATCAAGGAACATACTTTAAACACCGAGGACTTGAATATGATTCAAGGCATAATCCCAAAGCAAGGTGGTAGATAAACCCCTTCCAATGAATGTGTATGTTGAGATATATACGCATACACATACATACATCTTCATATTTGTTTATTTCTTGATGTTTATATCTGTATTTGTATACATATATCATCCCTCTCTCTACCCCTTGAGTAAGAAGGGGCCCCTTTGGGCTCTCTGGGAACGTTGAGCTCAGGAGATGCAGAGCTACGTTTCCTTGGCCCTCAGCTGCCGTTACACCGTGCGGGTGGTGGAGCCGGCCGCCTTCAATCCTGACTGGCGTCTCGGTTTTTCATCGGTTTTGACAAGGTTTCATGTGTTTTGGTAAGGTCTTCATAGGTTTCATGTGCCTTCGTATGATATCCATAGGTTACTGTAGGGTTTCATAGGCTTTTGTCAGGAATTAAAATACTTGCACGGTGCTTTGCAAGGTTCTGAGAGGGTTTTATAGAGCCTTTGAGGGATGCTGGTGGGGAAGCCCAGGAAGGACGTGGTCCACCTGATGCATCGCAATGCCCAGCGGGCTCAATCCGGAAAGAATGTTCCGGTGGAGGTGCTCAAGAAACTGGGCATAAGCAACATAGGATTTGTCAAAAGCATCCCATTATGGTACCTTAAACTTAGCTCCTGAACAAGAATCCTCAACCCTAAACCCCATTCCCGACAATCCAGGAAAATGTTGGGCCGATTCCAGCCCTTTTCTGGTGATCTTCGAACTATCGCCGGAGCTCCACGGCCGGAGCTTTCGGAGACCCAGGAACTCCGGATTGACTCCACGGACGGCTGCAGCTATACACTGCAGGATGTGCATAAGGGTTTGATTTATGGTGTTCAATGGGGGTTATAGTGTTTAAGAGTATGTAAACGTAAGGGCCCGATGCAATAGCCCGGGTTCGTTTTACCAGAGTGGCTTTGGGTTCATAGGATTCAATAGGATGAATATCGGGCTTCATTGTAGGAAAAAGAGTGGTCGTAGTTTTTGTGCATGATATCATTCCCTAGACCCTAAGCCCTAAACCCCCCCGACCTTAAATCCTAAACCACCAGACCTTACACCCTAAACCCCTGAATCCCGAAACCCTTAAACCCCTAATCCCTAAACCCTACCCCCCTTAATACCTAAACCCTAAACCCCTAAATACCTAAACCCCTGAACCCCTAGGCCCCGAAACCCTCAAACCCTAAACCCTTAAATCCTTAAACCCCTAAACCGCTAGATACCTTAACCCTTAAACCCTAAACGCTAAACCCCTGAACCCCTAAACCCAGACAAAGCATTCCAGGATTTCGTAGACGAGTACGGTGGCTCCGAGGAGGATCCTCCGAGGCAAGCGCTTTTGGGATTTTGGGATTTGGGGGTGTGCGGGTTTCGGGGGTTAAGGGGTTCCTTTGAGGGATCTCCAAGGGATCCATTAGGGCTCCTATAAGGGATCTCTATAAGGGATCTATTAAGGTCTAGGGTTTAGGAGTTCTCGTTGGCACACTTAGGGTGTAGGGGTTCGGGGTTTAGGGTTTACAGGTTTGGGTTTTAGAGGTTTAGGCTTTTGGGGGTTTAGGGTTTTCGAAGTCTAAGCTCTTTTAGGAGGCATGTGAGGGCATGGCGGGTAGGCTGCAGCATCAGATTGTGTTCAAGTTGCGACGAACTTACTATACGGGCCTTGATAATTAGAATGGGGCTTTTGGAGAATATCATATTTTATATATCATACAGAACTCCGAAAAAGAGCATGGTAATTATGAAGACCCATATATTGCACCCTTGGGGTGCGAAGATCCCGAACGAAACCCAACAGCTGGCCGAACCAACTTGAGTCTCTGACGACTAAGGCGAATAAGCAAGACTCAGAGAAACGATCGAAGCAAACAGCACTTGCAATACGATGCTACTACAAGTAATAGCAAGACTGACGCACGTTGTAAATTCCATGCAAGACACCTCCTGAGCCGTCGTAACCTTCCTAAACCGAGCTTCACCCTGGAAGAGCCAAAGAAAGCCAGCTGTTCCGAGCCGAAGCCCCGAAACTGAAATGAATCCCGACGAAAACCTACAAGCCTGAAAACGACTAAAAGCGTGTAAGTCCCAGTTGGCAGGGAGTGGTTCGAAGCTGCGCGGGCGCCGAGAGGGATCAAGGCTTCCAAGGGAGTGCTTAAAGGCTAAGGCTTGCTTCTATCAGGGTTGATAACCCTATGGTGGTGTTATCCTGTGCAGAACTGAGGGTATGGCACGCCGCTGGTCCTCTAAGCAGTTGGTTGGGATCCCGGCTGGTTTTAAAGCCGTGGACGTCCGCAGACCCTAAACTCCAAGCATACACCTAACTCCTAAAAGAACCCTGAAAGGAACCCTTAAAGAAACCCTCAAAGAAAGCCTTAAGGAAGTCCTTAAAGAAACCCCTAAAGAAACCCTTAAATCCCCTTAATATAGCCATTATATACCTATTATATATAGCCCATTATAGGGTAGGGGTCCCCATTAAGGGTCCCTCCTTTTCCCCTCTGACTAAAGAAAGCCGAGAGGCAACCAGAGACTCCAATATAGTATTATTCCAAAATAATAGGAGGATCCCTAATATGATTTAAGGAATATTCCTTAATTTAGGAATATTGGAGTCTCTGAGCAACCCGGGGAAGCTTCGGGAGGCCCGGCGGCCAGAGAGCCGTAGCTCGGGAAGCTCCTCCTCCTCCTCCTCCTCCTCGAGCTGCTCTTGCGAAAAGAGGAAAAGGAGGAGGATCAGCCCGGGTTGAGGGTTTAGGGTATATGAGTATGCATTATAGTATACTATAATTCTAGTGGGGAAAAGGAGGAGGATCGGCCAAGGTTTAATTAGAATATTAGAATAGGGTTCCGTTAATGGTTGCTATACGGCATCTATAAGTGTAATCATAGTGGGGAAAGGGAGGAGGATCAGCCGGGGTTTAGATATTGCTCCACGTTATGGAGGGCACCTGGCAGCCAGCTGTTAAAGAAGCTGTGAGGTTCCTCGAGCGACCTGTTAAGAGATCGACATTGCTCCATAATATGGAGATTTACAGTGCTTCTATACATAAGTTCCTACACGATCTCGAATAGCGCTTGTTTAGAGCTTTCGGGTTTAGTTAGATAAAATGTACTTAGGAGCCCTTAGAAATGGCTCTTACCTTGGTCGTTCTGGGTTTCGGGACTCAGGAGCGAATTTTTGTGCCCAAACCCCAAACCATAAACCGACAGAACAGGACTCAGAGCAACTCGCCTTGCAAGCTGGTTCTGGAAGCTCTTTGGGATGAACCGACACTTTCCTCCTGGGAAGAGCGGCGTGCAAAACTGATGGAACGCTACCAAGTGGAGGTCGAGGCACACGGGGCTCCTGAGGGGTTTAGGATTGCAAGGTCTTTGGGGCTTTTTGGTTTTGGAGGTTCGGATTTCTGGGGTGCTGCTATTTGGGTCCCAGATGTGATGAACCTTGAACCGAAGACATGATGGCCGCTAAGACCGCTAGCAGAACACGAAGACTAAGAAGCAAAGTCAGAATCCACATGAATACATCATTGCAGCGGCAAGCTAAATACAGGGGTCGGGGTTCGTCATACAAGTCCTTCTACACTACAGCGAAGTGAGTTCTGAGCGAAGCAGGAGGATGAGATGCTGTTCATCGTCTCTGCCGATCACAGCCATCCGCTTTGGTCCAGTGAGGCCCGGGCTTCTTCTCCCTCGCCAAATAAGATCGGAATAATTAGAAGTAACATTCCCTTATACTCCCCAGTATACAAGCCTGCCACCAAAACCCTATGCTGAAACCGCTAAGCTTTGAACCTTTTTCAGGCCTGTGCTTCCGACCTGAAGCTTCGCTGCTTTTCAAGGAATGCTACACCCTTAGGGTCAAAAGGCAAAGGGCCTCCAAGACTCCCGAGTTGACCCTAAAAACCCTAATATAGGGAATATAGGGGCCTTAATAACTAGAACAGGGTTTTGAGGCCGATTATACTATCATTTTGAAAAGGAACCCCCAAAACAGTATGGCTACTTATTACGGCCCCTATAGTAAACCCTATGCTTCGCATCGCAGTCAGCAGTCACAGGAAGCTCAAGTACTGCGTGAGAACCGCGGCACCGTCTACGAGAAGTCCTCTGGAAAACCTCTCTGCCTGCCATTTTACAAGCGCCTGGGTATGGTTTCGTAAACAGATATGGTTTCGTTTACAGAAAGAACACGAGGATCAGAGATATTGGCATCACGAAGGAGAAGACCATGTCGACTATGTTGACTATTGCTAGAGCCGCCAGTTGATCAATCATAGCGGCCGTCGCCTTCTCGAAGGAGCACTAGGAGACTGTCATGATAGCACGAAGCCGCAAACCTAAACCCCCTAAACCCTAAATCCTCATCCCTAAATCTCGAGTCGTCCCAGATTTTCAGGTTTTGGAACAGGGGAGAGCGCCTCGCCGAGCAGATCGACTGGGAGGATGGAGCCGTTGCAGAGGCCATGTTCTTGGGGGTTTGGGGCTCTTGGCTTAAGGTTTGATGGCTTCAGGGGCGTTGATTTTGGGCTTAGAGTTTAGGGGATCAGGAGACCAGCGAACAGTCCGACGATGCGGCAAGACTTAGGACCTAGAAACCCGAAATCAGGTAGGGTTAGTTTTAGGGTTTTGGTGAGTGCACACGGCCCTTAAGAACCGTGTATACATTGGGCTTTAGTATCTTGAAATAAACGACAGAAACCGTCAAAAGGGTACATCTAGTACTAATATTTAATAAGAATCGTGGTTTCTCAGAGATGAGTATCCATGTGGTGAGGTCCCCGAATCTGCAGGATCCTCGGGATCGGACCCCCGAGATATGCGTGGTTCCTGAGTAGTACCCATTCGCCCTTTTTCTTTTCGGGTTTCTTATTGAAACCAAACAGTAGGAAAAAGTGTACCGTACTCCTACCGGGCTATCCAGACAGCAAGATTATACTGATTATGACTGTACTATACGATTAGAGGGGCTACTAAACGTCCTGGACCTTGAACCACAACAGACTACTACTAAGAGGTTACGGGGAACCTGGGAAAAAGTGTACAAAGCAGGAGAAGATCGACGGCAACCTTCTGAAGCTCTTCTTCTTCCAAGGCCATGGCCCAGCACGTCCCACAAAAAGCAAAAAGCGTTTCCGCTAAACCCTAACACCCTAAACCCTACCACCCTAAAACCCAAAACCTCAAAGCCCTAAACCTTTTCTTTTAAGGACCAAATATGAGCCTTAAGAAAGGGGACCCTATCCCCTCATGCTATGAATCTCTATATGGTATATGAACCTTAAACCCTTTCGTGTGCATTAAGGTTTTCGTGGATCTGCAGTGAAAGCTTTCGCTCCTGCATAAGGCTTAGGCTTATTGTTAACTTAAACTCGAAACTTTACAATGCTTCAGCTTGATAAGAACCTCTTTGGTCCCAACAAATTCCCTGAACCCCAGCCCCCCCACCAAGCCCTAAACTCTCACCTGGCTTAATATAGGGGCTTGGATAAATAGAAATCTTGTTCCTTAAGGGTCTTCATAATGATTCCACACACCCGAACCCCCTGTCTTACCACTGCCGTTTACACTAAGCCCCGTGATAGGACCTTGACAGTAACCTTTATAGAAGCCCGTTCAAGGAACCCTATTCTTACTATTCGGCCCCTTCAGTGCCTTTATTAGAAGTCTCGGTTGGACCAAGTTCAGGGTTCAAGGATTAGGGGATCGCGTGGAGCGGAGTTTGTATTCGTGTTAGCATGAGTGTTGCGATAGGGCAAGTTCACACGAGGTACGGCTTGAGCTTTTGATTTTGGTGAGTGTACATAAGGCGTCTTATCCATGTTGGTGATTGTTGGTGAATGTATATCTGGGTTATGGTGGGGATAGTAGTGGGGAGAACTCTACGGAAAGTCGTCATGTGAAGGCCATCACCTTGCTACTTGTTTCCACTGATCTTACCACCTTGATCATTACTAAAGACGCCTGAACAATTAGCAATGCCATTCCACTGGGTTCCTGAGTATTACGATTCCAGAATGATTCCGAAGCCCCGGCTTCAGTTATAACATGTTGACTGGTACGTGGTAGTTTCAGGAACTTGGGATTTGCAGGAAAAATAGCCGAACATGGATATCCATATTGCAAGAGTGATTGCATCGTGAAAGGTACCATAAGGACTGCAGCCCCCCCAACTTCCTCTGGAAAAGAAATCCACATCTTGTGTTGGAGGCACTTGGCGTTTGGCGAGCAACCGGACCTTGAAGGCAGCGCCAGTGTGACGGCTTCGGGCTTCAGAACGGCTACGACGACGACTACAAATCATGAAAACAATAACAATAATAAGCACGAGTACTACCATTGAACATGGAATATTCTTGACATGATTGGTGCTGGTTTTAGGGCACTGTCGGAATTCAAAGTATTCTTTTGACGAGTCGCCCCTGCGCGATGCCTCTGACTCTGTAATTTGAAACGCTGCGCGTCGTCCGCCTCGGCCCGGCTGTACGCGCATGCGGCGAGTGGCCACTATCTGCAGCAAGCTCTTGTAGGAAAAAAGTAACAGTTGGAATCGCACTTATAGTAAAAGTAATGTTCATAGCAACACGAAGCAGGATGATTGTGAGTAGTATTAGTAGTGGTAGTATCAGTACGAATTTTGGTGTCGTCATTCCGAAACACTGGATACCAAGACTCTCGCAAGCGGCGGGATGCCTTAAGTATGGGCCGCTGAGGCTGTGGATGTCGTGGGTGTCTTGGAAAGGAACTACTGTGGGGCCTTAGGGTAATGCAGGGTGCTTCTTTTTGTAGGGTCCTGCGCGTAGTAGACACGAAATGTGTATTTGCATTACAGTCCGGTGTTGGGAGGGGGGGGAGGGGGGGGGGAGCGAAAAGGAGAATTTGGGTGGGACTGCCTACAGAGATCCAAAATCCGTTGGAGGAAGCGAGAATTCACCGCCGGACCTTGGGGCTCATCGACGGGTTTCCATTTTTTAGGGGGGGGGGGGGGGGCGGTGGCCAGGTTTTTGGGGGTGGGGTCACTGGGGAGGGGATTAAGAGGTGGGGAATGAAGGAATCCGTATAGGAACCTCTGACCGCTTCGGCCGGGGCCGAGGCGAATTTAGCCGCCCCTTCCATCTTGAAAACGCTGTCGATGCCCAGTAGACGACAAGGATGGTCGCGCGGAGTTTAGAGGACAACTTGAACCTCATGGCGGTGGCTACACTGCTAAGCCCGAAGGTTCATGAGTCCAACGAGAAGTACGCCTGCACAGGAAGGACGAAGCTTTGGCTTGCAGCCTTTAGCGGCTCTGGGCTTTGAATTTTCAAGTCTCAGTGTTGTCAGAGTTCAACCCCAACAGATACGAGATCACCTTCCTTCCGCACTTACTCTCTACCACCTGGTCACAAGTCATGCATCCCGGCTTCAGGACACCAAGGCCGAACCACTGCAGCGACATGTCCACTACACGGTCTGCCTGAAGTGCAGTGGGTGAGGGTTTCTGGTTTTGTGTACCTTAAACCCTAAGCCGTATACCTTAATTACGAGCTCTTAGTTCCTAAACTGTATTGCCCTAAGTATGCACTCAAAGCAGCTTAGGAACTACCAGCTCTTTGCTGAAGCCGCGGCGAACAGCTCGCTGGATTACAGTCGCCTAGATCCAGGCCTCCGGCTCCTTTCGAGAGGTTTCCGAAACAACACAGTAAGGAAGAGGGTCTTTTTGATCTCCCTTGAAAAGTTCGAGCAGAAGTAGGTAAAGAAACAGGAAGAGAGTGTATGCATGCAGATAGGTACTCAAACTCTGTGTATGTCCAAAGAATCAAGACGAGCCTCTCCGATGCCCCGCGGAGGCTGCTGCTACATGTTCGAGCGCGTCCATCCGGATTTTAGGCCTGCCCAGGGTTTCGAAGCTTCCGACGGGATTCTGCAGAGGTGATGTAAAAGCCAGGGTAGCTTTTAGAGGGGCCTTATAGACAGGAACACGCGTCGGCGGCGAAAGCTTTCTACAGTCCTGTTCCGAAGAGTGCTGTCACATAATTACCTTACCCTTGAATGGAGGAATGGGGTACAATTATAGCTACTATTGCTACCATTCTTCTATTCCCTACTAACCAAAGGTAAGTCACAAGAAGTTCCTTTCTGGCCCCAAACACACACTGAAACTTCTTCGTGATGTGGGGAGCAACGGAAGGGCTTGGTGGTCTCCGCTTTTTGCGCTGCTGGGAGGATCGTGCTGGACTACCCTCAAGCCATGCTGTATCACATTGGCACCAGAGACATGAGAACATTGAAGGAGATCGATGTGCCTGGGCTAAAGCCTTGAGAATATTTAGGGGCCTTAATAATTTGAATAGTTGTTTGGGATTCCTTTGTAGTATTTTTAATAATATGGAACCCTAATGAATACTGTTGGTAACTATTTAGGCTTCTACAGTACCCGAAGAGCTCAGAGCTCCAGGCTCCAAAGTAAGAAGTGAGGCGATGAAGATTGTGCATTCGAACCGCTGAGTCCTAAACCCCTACTCTGGGCTCTTGTTCAGGGATTTATGTAATTGAAGTTACCATACTAAAGCGACCATACTATCTACTGCGGATCCCTAGTATGGTAACTCAACTTAAACTCCTTAACAAGAAGCCAGAAGTCCCCGAACCCGAGACCCAAGGTGGACATCGGAGTTCCCCGACCGAAGCGGTGGGAGATACGAAGTGCCAAAGAGTGCCAAGCCTTGCTCGACTCCTTCCATGGATTTTCCGAGGGGCTGGTCGTGAGAATCTCAGCAGGCAGGCAGTGCTTGTTGGTTTGAGTCTAGCAACAATAGTAACAGTAATAAGTAGCAACAGTAATAATCATGACAGTAATAAGGACAATATGACGATAATTAAATTGGTAGCTTCGCCTCTGCACTTGCCCACGCCTTCTGTCGCCGCCTTCACTTGGCTATGTCTTGCCGCTGCACTGGACTTGAACTTGGCTTCTCCTTGTTCGCGTCTTGGGACCATTGTTTCTTAAGGGATCTAAACTCTTACGAGGTGTTTAGGATTTAGGGGTTGGAGGCTTCAGTCAGGGTTCAGGTTTTTCTACATTTCTTGGCTTTATGGATTGTTACGGCTCAGAGACGGAGACTTATCTCGTGAAGGACAAAAGAAGCTTAAGCACATCCCGAAAGTCGGTTCTCTCAAGGTCCACAAGAGCAAGAATAGCCAAATGACCCAAACCCTGAAAACCCTGAACCCTAAGAATTCCAGTCGGCTACTGGACCGAATCCCGCATGACCTCACAGCCATGGGGCTATTGGGAGTCAAACTGGAGTCCTTATGATGGATAGTGCCAGGATTGGGATTCTGCCCATCAACAGTACGATCAAGCCCTTATGCAGCCGTTAGCGAAACCAAAGGCAGCCAATTCACACTAAGCAAAGATACACTTAAGAGAACCCGGTACTGCTCAGGAGATGCCAAGTACCGGCGGCAGAAGTGGAAAAGACGAGAGCAACCAAGCAGCAGATGTCAGAACGCCGTCTCTGAAATATCAGCAGCAGGAGCAGCAGCATCAATGGTAGTGGTAGTGGTAGTAGTATTCGTAGTCGTAGTCGTAGTCGTAGTCGTAGTCGTAGTAGTAGTAGTAGTAGTAGTAGTAGTAGTAGTAGTAGTAGTAGTAGTAGTAGTAGTAGTAGAGTGGTAGTGGTAGTGGTAGTGGTCGTAGTGGTAATAGTAGTAGCAGCAGCTACTTTGGTCTATGTATTTAGTCAGTTCAACCATCACTCTTGGCAACATTGACTGACGGGCTCATTGACATTTCAATAGTCCTGCTATTACAATAAGCGCAGTACAAATGTCAGCCACGGCATCCTACAAGCCACGAGATCAGCGAGCCCTTGCAACAACCCTGCGAGCTCCAAGTACTATGTTTATCATGTCGGAAGAAAAACTGCATCCGCTTCTTGAGCCTCCGTGTCCAGTCGGAGCAACGATACCTGTCTTTGACAGATCAGGTACTTGCTGATGCACTCCGCTCGATACCTCGTTGGGGATGACCAGCCCTGCTATGCTTGGGTCGCGAGGAGCAGTGCAGCCGGAACTATGGACACGGACCGATTGTGCCTGAATGCCGCCAGGCCCTGTTGTGCAAAGACGCTACACTGTCACACTCGACTGGAGAGATTGCATCGTTGAACACGGGATCCCTTTTATCTAACACGCTATCACCTCTGTGGTTGGCAGCGTCTGATTTTACGATGGTTTGGTATCATCTCACTCATCTCTGTGCTCTTTGCTTTCACTGCAGAAGCCTGACTCCGGCAATCCCAGAAAAAAACCCAAAGCGTAAACCTAAATCCTGACTTACCCGCACAACCCCAAATTACCCTCAAGCCCTGCATCTCTCAAAGCCCTCTTCGAACCCTAAGAAGTTTGGCATCTCAGGTTTGGTTGAGGTCCGAGTCCTCCGAGTTTGCGGCGTACTTCCCTGAGGCTGACCCAGGGTTTGGGGCTTGGGGCTCCTATGGCCGAATATAACGGCCTGAATTGTTAGAATGGGTTGTTGCAGTACTCTGTGATATGAAAAAAAGATATAAGGCCCTTGACACAAATGGTGCTATTAAGTATTTAAGCCTTACAGCAGGGTTTCTAGCCCACCCCCTCGAAATGCCAGCAAATGCAAAGTCAAGCCGTGACAAGACTGGCTACGGTTTAAGGTTTGGGGATTTGTGTATTTGGCATGTTTGCGTTCCACGAATCTACAGGAGTTTGAGACAACAGCCGCCCCAACCCAGATCCTAAATAGCAGTCAGAATCTTCGTGCACAACGTCCCTGCACAAGGAACCCCACATTTTGGTAAGCTCCCGAAAGAAAAGGGAACCAGCCAGGCCTCCCTCTACCACTGAAGCGCAACCACGGAAGCTGTGAGCACTCGAAAGGCCATGGAGCGCTACAACCTGGTGCAAAGGCTCTTGGAGGAAGAAGGACAGGGTTTGGGGCTCGCGGTTTAGGGTTTAGATTTAGAGCTTCAGTTATATTTTGGTAGTCCGAGCTGTCGCTCAGGTGTTTCTAGCTTTGGTACTATCCTTAGCCAGTTGCCACTGCCGTATTCACTTGTTCCGCCTGGCCAACCTTATCTCAGCATGATTCTGCCCTGCAGAAGCCCAAGCCGCTGCACTCGCAGAGCCCACCTCGACCACAGCACGACAGGCGTCACAGTGACAAGCGATATTCATGGACCCGCAAAAGCATAGTGGAACAACCATCAGTTAGAGAAGTTAACACAAACCAGTTTCACCGGAGCTTCAGACATATCTTCGATTTGAGAGGCTTGTAGTGGTATGTCCAGTCGGCCAAGAAACGCCAACCGCAAGCCGTCTCCCGAAGCCAGGAAAGCTCAAGCCCCACTTCTAAGTTCTTCTCCGGTGACCCTGAATTGCAGAATCCTCCGCCTCCGGCGAAGGACTCTGTGAGGGCCTCGGCGACGTGCGCCGAGAGCGCGAGCCTGCAAGCGGGCGCTTCCTTCGCGAAGCGACGCTTTGGGAACGCCTCAAAGCCGCACTCCCGCAGACTGCAAAAAGGCCGTCCTGAGATCCGGGCTCACCATTCTCAGGGAAGCATGAACACGAGAATGCCGCTGCAGTGCGTTGCACCTCTCCGTTGGACATGGAAGCAAGGTGTCAGGAGATGCTCAGAAGGTTCGAAGTGCTCTGCAGATGTCAAGCTTGCCGGTGATGCAACTCACTCTTCTGCTGGTCTTGAGCCTGATGTCGTTTTTCGTAAAGTCACACTGAATCCCAGGAACCCAGATGCAGGAGACCGAAGCGCTGCCTAGCAGGAAGCACATCCTCAACGTTAGGATCGGCCGTTTGCTCGGAGCAAAGGCCCGGAAAGCTCTAGGTCTCTAGAGCCCCAGACTTTCAGAAACAGAGGCACTTCTTAGCCCTTAATCTTAATGTGCTGGCCAGCTTGCCATGCCTCCCAAGCGGCGCAACCTCTATGCGACCCTCGGAGTGCACCGCTACGCCTCAGAACTGGAGATTCGTGCTGCCTACCGCCGTCGTGCTTTAGAGAAGCACCCGGACAAGGGTGGCAGCCACGAGGCATTTCTGGCTTTGATCAATGCCTTCGAGGTCCTCTCAGACCCGCCCGTGCGCGAGCAATACGACAAGGACCTCGAGAAGCGGGGCGATCGCGATGGTCTGCAGCGCTTGAAGCGGCTTGTCTCGGAGAATGAAGAGCGGCCTCCACAGAGAGAGGTCGTGGCTCCGCCTGAGCCAGGGTTGCGGGAAGAAGCCCAGGCTCAGGCCAAAGGAAGGAAAAGACCTCGGCAAGCCCAAGCCACCACAGCGGGGACAGCGACAGCGAGACCTCGACCTGAGCCCTCCAAGGACTATCGGGACTTGCGGGGTGGGCTTAGGCTTTAGAGTCCTTCAGGGCCTGTAGGGGTTCGGGGCTTAAAGAGTTTAGGCTCCATGTAGGTGTGGTGTTTTGCTTTGTTGTGTTCACGTAACTTGCGTGACTCAGACACCTTTTGACCCAAACTCCAAAAAGGCCCCGCCGGCTCTGACCTGTACTCCCTTTTGCATCCGATGCCCACCTTGGCCGTTCTTTGCCTTTCTAGACTTGGTGTCCCGATCCTGATTGGTGATTCCTTTTTCTCGAAATACTAAAGAGGCGAGATGCCGATGAGGCCAGGCCCCCTACTCCGGGATGAAGTTTAGGAGTGTGAGAGACTACAGGTGCCTTGAAATTAGACTAGGGTTTGCATGGGGGCCTGTGACTAATTATAAAACGGAACCTGCAAGAACCCTGTTCCAACTAGTAAGGCCCCTATACAATGCTGCTCTTATAGATCCCTTATAGTACCGCTTATCGACCCCTTTAAAGGAACCCTACTCTACTTAGTACTTCCCCTATGGTACCCAGAGTCCTCGCCATGCCTGGGCCCAGGAGTCCCCGGAGGAGGCCCAGGAGGCCCAAAGCGTGTGGAGACAGCTCTTGGAGGCTGCAGCTTCGCGGCAGAGCCTCCCGAAAAAGGGTGGTTGTCAAAATTAGGGTCCCTTTTTGGGGGTCCTTAGTATAATACGGCACCTATTATTTAGGGTACCCAAAAAGGAAAAAGGGACCATGATTTTGACCACTACCCAAAAGGATCCAAAGAGTAGATCCTAAGGGTTCCTTTAAGGATGCCTTCGAGAATTTCGGGTTTTAGAATCCTTTGAGGGATGCCTCCCAGAACCTCCGTTTAAAGGGATCCCAAAAAGTAGATCACTTCAGGGGTGGATCCTGCAAAGCTGTAGTAGTTCGGGTCTGAAATTCAGGGATCTACTTCTTGTATCCTCTATTCTCTAAGACTTCACTGCATCGTAAAGGAAAAATACATCGAGGCCATGGATGTGAAAACCTACTTCCTGGTACTCCAGAGTTTTCAGGGAACGCCCAAGTTGCAGTAATATGGTGTTATATCTGCTTGGACTGTAGTGTGTTTTATGTCTCTAAACCCTAAACCCCGTGGCTAGAGACTAGTGCAGTTGCAAAAAGGCCCTCAAAAAAAGACGCAAAACCCTGTTCCTGCAGGCTCTAAGCGGTTTCAGGGCTTTTTTTGAGGGCAACGAGAACCGAGGATGCCGAGGACGAGTTTCCCTCCATCCTCAAGGCCCCGGGAGGGTTGCATTGGCCTAGGGCCTACCTGGACCCTAAGGCACCTACCTGTTCAAGGTTCCCCAATATGATTCCTTTATATAAGTCCTTAAAAAGGTAGGTTACCTGGGGTTACAGTAAATAGTTGCCAATACCATTCTCGGGGGTTCCCGTGTATAAGTATAGTACAATGGGCCCCAAAACCCTATTCTAATTTTTGAGGCCCCTACATGAGGGCCTACGTTTTGTCAAAGCTCTCAGTTTAACCCTAGAACCCTAAAATAAAACTTGCAGGGGTAGAGGCCCGAGAGGAAGGTGGATCTTGCCAGACTCTTTTGCCTATTGAAGCTTTGGGGTTTGCTATTGGGTTTACTTGCGAAGGTTGCTATATGAAAGCTACAAACTAGGTTCCCGAGTAGTACCTTTCTTTTTGTTGTGTTCTCGCTTGTTACAAAACCAAACAGTATGAAGAAGCGTACCCAGTATTATTAAAGGGCCATTGCGGAACCTAGCCAAAGATCCTGCTTTTGGAGTGTCGTCCTTCGCCGCTGGTCTGCCCCTGAAGCCTACCCCTCGCCGGGATTGCAACCCACCGCAGGGACGGAGCTGGAGATTTCTTGGCGCAGTGGCTGGCGAAGGCCAGGACTTCTTACGGAGGCCTGTTGGGAAGGAAGTTTTGGCGCATTTAAGGGTATTGATTGCTTCTGCTCAGGGAAGCTCCTTATGCGCCTTTGCTCGCGAGCCCCCAGCAGGACCTCGATCCTTGTGGGCGCGGGCTGTTGAGATTTGGCGTTCATGTTAGCATAATATAGGGGCCTCAATGATAACATATACCGTTTTGGTGGGTTCCTTTTTTGTTATAGTATAATAGGCCCCAAACCCCTTTTCCAATTATTGAGCCTCTGAAATGGAAGTTCTGTAGTTCAAGATCCTTGGACGGACCCTATCTGAGGCAGTCCCTGTGCCTGCTGCAACCTTAGGGAGCTTCGGGCGTTGGACACCCAGAAAACGAACAATCCTTCTGTGAAATCCCATCTGGCGCATCATGCACTAATTCCATCATCTACTATTCTTCCCAACTTGTGCTTTCCACCGTCAAGCCCAAAACCTTGAGCCCTGAAACCCTACTTGGAGGTTCATGGGACTTAGTAACTAGGGTTACAAAGACGGCACCTACACTTATAATTACTTACAACCCCAGTTAAGGTACTTATCACTGTACTTACTAAGTCCCATGAACCTCCATCTACATCCCAAAAAGACGAGTGTCAGTCTGGAGGCGAGCATGGTTCCAAAAGGTGCCGAAGCCTCCAAAGAAGACGGTGCGAGTGCGGAAAACCGCAAAGATGGCCGGAAGCAGTTTTGCTGGGTTTAGGGGTTTGCACTTTGGGGCTTTGGGTTACGGGTTTTTGAGTTTGTGGCTGAAGGGTGTAGGATTTCCAGTTTAGGGTTCTGGAATGTTTTGGATGAAAGGGTTGAATTGGTTCTGGACCGTCTACAAATGCCCGTATGTATCTGTTGTAGCATTCCCCTCTCCGCTCTTTGGACTATTGTCGTCCTCGACACAACCAGACACCGCTTCCCACGCTAGGACGCATCGACTCCACAGATGCTAAGAGGGAATCAGAAGAGGTGGAGGAATGCAGGGAACTCAATGATGACTGATGGGAAGCAGCCGTAAAAGCCTCTCTATGGGGACCCTGTCGCACCTTCATATTTCTCACGTCACGGGTGGGCTCTATCAATTTGCGCAAGCCGATACCTTCAGCAGCCATTGGAGAAGCCCTGACCCTGAAGCAATACTTCAGCGGGTTGATTCGTCGAGAAGAAGCAGGATATCTGCCCAATGCTAAAATCTCGGCAAAACCCAAGCTCCCAGAAGATCAGGAAAGGTTGGCCTGCAATCGCTGATGGATGCCTCAAAGAAGGCACCTGGTGGACCTTAATAAGTACCTATACTATTCTGGTGGTTCCTTATCGTATTTATGGTATAATGGGCCCCAAAACCCTATAGGCATGGCAACAGTGATTCAGAGTTGAAAAGCTCGGGACTCAAGGTTTCCTCTCTGGCATATATAATGTGTTTTTGGACTGGTGCAGGGGAATGGGGGCGGCGATGGTGGATGGCGCAAGGTTACCACGCCAATTCCTAGCGTTAAGCGCGAGCACGGATATGGTAGAGTGGACCCGTGGAGTTTCGCCCTCAGTCCATACCCACAAGCTTGCAGTTTCAATTCTCCTGTGCCACGATAAAGTGCAGTTCGATGCGTCAATAAGATACAGATGGGTTTGGGGTCGTGTGTTTTGATGGCAACTGCTGCAAGATTCCCGACTGTCAGCTGTCTGTACTGTCAGGACAGTCTGGGCGAGAAAGCCTGCCAACACATGCAGAAGCACATTCGAAAGGTCGGATCAGGGCTGGACATCCTTGAGTCTGTTTAACTTGCTACTAATGATACTCGTTTCCTCTTCAACTGATTGCTGCGAGAAGGCCACTGGATTTAGCTCGCCACTGTTAGGGTTCTTTTGTAGGCGCAACGTGCTGCTGGTGACCTGACGAGAACCTCACTTCAAACAAAGGCTGTAGCATAGCTCGAATCCTGATCCCCGACATGCAACTGCAAAATGCTAAGCCGTACATAATATACGGGCCTTCAAAACCTACAACTATAATAAGGAGCCCCGAAAAAATAGTATAGGTAATTTTTTAAAGGCCCCTGAATATTGGAGCAGGTTGGGCCGCGAAGCTTCGGGCTGGTGATGTGAAACTCGGGTGCACTTTCAGCCTCACACTCTTCTGGTAGGTTCGGAAAACGAAAGGTACCGTCAAAGGGATCTATGTCGGGGTTCCTTCAAAGGGACCTGTAGTTTGAGGGTTACCTGATTTGGAGGGTCCTTAGAAGAAGGATCTTACGATTTAGCGTATTATTATACTGGGGTCCCCCATTGTCGGAAGCTCCCTTCTGAACATCTGCACGCGTCGGCAGCACCAGAGCGAACCCTAAAACCTGAACCCGTCACAGTCCCGATTTACGTTATTTACATTTATGAAGGTGGCATGCGTGGTCAGCCCTAGAACTCATGAAAAACATGGTGTTTGTAAGGCTTAGGGCCCCCTTTGTAAGGGTTGATGTTTAAGGGTTTTCTAACAGTAAATACCGTAATTTCCGAAAGTTACATATATGTGAAGGCGGAAAATACACCTGCTGAGGTTTCCGGAGAAGCTGCTAGGACATGTAGTGACACCGAGGATTTGCAAAAGGGAGTTTCTCAATTTATGAAATTGATTTTTACAACACCTTCAACACCCTGCATGTAGTGTCTAAGGGGGGTTTCTCAGATGAGTTCGGCTTGCCATTTGTAATGTCATCGCATTTCCAGCTCGAGCCTTCCCCAAAACCTCCGCACAATGAGGCTTTCAAACCTTTCATCGGAACTCCAAAGCCCTACCTCCTCGATCCGAAAAGTTTAGGCTTCGATTGGCTCGAAGTTGCAAGCAACTCGACACATCTGGCTGAAGCCATAGATTGGCACATCATCCTCATGAAGTTCCAGCGCGAGGCAAAGAAGATCTTCAGTCAAGGGCACGCAGATGACTACCCTTTGGTCTCCAACACGCTCCAGTCCATCCTGGATGAGCATGCTCAACAAGGACCGGGTGCCATGATAAGGAAACCACATTTATTTAATATAGGTTCTTATTATGGTTACTTAAACTGAATCCCTTAATAAGAACCCAGAGGAGGACGAGCTCCAACCCTGACCTTTGCTTTGCGCATGTACTTCAGAAATGGCGAGAAGCACAAGCTTTTCCGCTTCTTTCGGACTACAGATCTTCGATGGGTGCTCGACTGCCGCAAGCGACGCCTGGTGGGCAAATCACTGTGTTTTAGGTTCGCAATGCTTTTGCGGTGTATGTTCTTAGGGCGGCACGTCCGGCCTGTTGTTGTTGTTGTTGTGTTTTGCTGGATGTGCTGCAGGAATCAAAGCGCTGATGCCAACATGCGATCACGATGCGTTTCTGCGGGCAGTTCGTGGCATGTGCCAGAAGTCTATTGACATGTCTGGAGAGGCCCAGAAGAGGCATTACGAGAAAATCCGTGCCGACAAAGCCGCCATGAAGGCCGCAAGGCAGCTGCAGACAAAGAAGAACGCGAAGTTGCACGCCCGAGCACAGGCTGCGGTGCAATTTCTGGTGCAAGCCAGAAACAAGTTCAAGGCTGGAAAGGACATGCAAGATCTCGATGCGATTTTTTGCGACTTCGGGATGGGCGAGCAGGTTTGTCTCTTGGCGCGCATTTTCAGCATCTTCTCGTCATCCACCAAAAGATTGGGTTTTATATACTTGCACCCGCATGTCTCTGATGTTGCCCCAGGCTTCTTCGCGATCGTGCAGGCCCAAGGCAGCAGGCACAGCGCTGGCCCGCTGCGAGACACGTGGCAGATGCTTGTCGCTGAGACCCTTTCGAGTGTGGAATTCCCCGCCAGGTTTGCACCAGAAACTTCTTCCGAACCTCACCAAACACGAGAGGGTTCCTTTGGACCCCTCAGGAAAGCGGCAAAGGATCTGCAAGCGTTGAAGAAGATTCAGAAGTCCAAAGGAGCTGCACATGACAGCAGCGGGTTCATCATAGCAAATCTTCAGATACATGTGGACTTGTGTGCGGTATTTTCGTTTCAATTTAGGCTCCGGTCTAAAGCTGCGCATGTTCTTGGGCAGCGAGAAAGTTCAACAGGTAGATGGAGTGCAGGATCGGCAGCAGCAAGTCCCGAGTGCGCAAACATAGGGGCCATGTGCAGCCATATGTAATCGAGAAATAGGTGAACAAGGCCAGCAACTCGGAGAAATTCTGTGCTTTTCACAGCCAAATTCCGGAGGCTGCACTTGCAACCACAACGTTGTTGTTTTTTGTTTTAGCAATGTTCAGACAGGCCACATTGAATCTTCGAGCAACAAAGGTCATGAATAAGCACTAGAATAGCTGGTTATTATTGCCACCAAGCGCGCGGGAGAATTTTCACTTTCTACCGCTGCGTACGGATAACTCGCCTCTTGAATAACCTCGAGTGGATGTGTGACTGGGTGGTCAGAGCTTCACCAGGTTTGGTTTGGGGTTGCAGATGAAAGTTTTGTCATTGTCTTGCAAAGCAGGCTTTAGCCGGGCAGATCGGGATGGGTTTGCGTGCATTCTTGCATTGTTTGGTGTCCACGTTGACACAATGCAAGCTGTTGCAGGATTTCCAGCAGCAGTGGCAGAAGCACAGCGCCTTGATGAGGATGAGATGTTCCGACGTTTCTCAAACGCAGCGGTTTCCAGAAAATTCTGATGCACAGAAGATTGCTCTGGGACGTAAATTTGCGAAAGGCCATTCTTCATATCATATATATATATATATATGTACATGTATATACATAAATATTCTAATGGTTAAATATTCTAATGGTTTCAAATACTTGAAAGCTATACCTCGAAAAAAAACCGCCAAACACCGTTCACAATCTTGACTACAAAAAATTATTAAGGTAAGATTTTGACTCAGCTTTATGTAGATAGACGTCAATAAGTTGTGCCGATAATTTTCTTCTACATATTTAATATTCTTTCTATTTTAATTATCATAGGTCGAAGATTTTTGAAATTTAATATTTTTTGATTTTGATTTGTATGGAAAGTCTTCAATTGGGTTGGTCGTATAGATTCGAAATATCTTTCACGAAATCGTATATATGAGGTTTTCCGAAAATTAGGAGAACCGTATTTTGGCGTCTTTAGAATAAGATTTAATAAGGATCATATTATTTAGGATACTAATTAAAGTCTCCTATTTTCAGAAATTTTCATATCTTCTCTGGGATATAGTTTATGAGAAGTTATATTTTATGATCGTGTCCGCTTACGAAATTGTTTTCCGTTAAATGAAATCGCGGATTCGTCTTATTAAATTTGCGTATTTGATCAATAATTTCTCTCTATTGAATTCTCGGAAATGTTGATGGATTTATTTCTTTGTATTTT